ATATATATATATATATATATAAATTTATTACGGCATATCATCCTATAAGTAAAGTAAGCTATGAACACAAAATACCATCAATTTTCACCGTCTAGCTACTGAATATCCACGAGGGCTGCAGTTAACACTCAGGCATATTATATCTAGAAGAAAATTGTGTCAATCTCGCTTCACTGAATAATTAAGCTCTAAAGACGCGGAGTTGTTGGAATATCTTTNGGGGGGACAGGGGGAGTGGGGGGGGGACAGGGCGGAAGGAGACAATTAATCACCGAAGTTTTCCCGATTTTTTTTATATTAATCAATAGAGCATTCTGAAGAAAATGGGAGAAAAAAGAATGACGTATTCGTGATTTTCGAAAAAAGAGTAGTAAAGTCACAACATATCATTTTTATAGTTTCTCGTGTCGCCAATTATCAAGTTAAGTAATTTTATCCCCTTGCCTGGCTCATATATTTCGACCATGTCTTCGCCAGGCAATCCTTATGTATTTATCCCAATTTCAGTCATTTGACTACAAGTCTGGCAACCCCTCACTACTCATTCATAATTCAAATTATAATCCACTACAAGGTAGAAATTGTAACAATTTTTTCGCTTTGTAATGCCAAACCGGAATAAATTAATGAAAGTCTCATGAATGACAAGGGAATTGAAAATATGTTGAGACCAGAAATAATATAATCCAACAAATTTCCTGTTATTGATTGTATGATTTTAAGCAAGTAGTGTCGGGTTTCGAGTGGTTGAAAGAAACACAAGCTGAGTTCGCTTTCTATCTTCCAAACGGTTTCTCTTCTTTTGGTTTGGGAAAAAATGAATTTACTATTTAATACATCGTTGTTTTACTACACGAATATACTAATTGCATCTAAAACAGAAAACCTCCACGTGGTGCATCCTGGGCAACGTATACTCATACGGCAAAAAAGTNACGTCATATTTGACTACTTTAACAGTACTCACCTGACCTTTTTTCTACCCTTTCTACCTTCGTCTTAGAAACACTCTTCTGTTCACCCCCCTTCTCGACTTATTTTCAATTTGATGTTCCTTCCCCTCTGTGAAGCCTGAAGTCAACTAAAGGGCTAATGATAGCCATCAAAACGCCTGCCATTTGATATAAATAAATATCTGGAGGAAAATAGATAACCATAACTAGTTGCTTTCTCCTTTCCTAGTAACCATTAAGTGAGTCCTTAGGACCAAACAGTTATCAGCTACAATTAATAAATTATCATAATGCAGAGTATCATGCAAACCAAGAGTTGGCTGAAACAACTCAGAGTTTTTGTGTATACCATTACAATTGCAAATATAGTCATTGAAGGTGTTCAGATTAGATTATACTACTTAACGGATCCCAATGTCCCGAAACACATTTACAAGGTAGGCGGTCAAAGGTCAAAAGGAAAGAACAATGCGTGGCACCTACCAATAAGGGGTCCCAATGAAAGTGTTGCGTTTGCCAATGGTTCGGTCCAGTTGGGCGCTAACACCAAAGTCCACTGGAGAAGGAGCAAAAAAAAGAAGTGAACACAAGCTCGCTAACACGCTGTGACATGACATGACAGCACCGTGTGAAAAGCGTCAACCTACCCAACTTGACATCCGCATTGTCGGTGAGGAGGACATTTTGGCCCTTGATGTCTCGATGGATGACACGATTGGCGTGCAAATGAGAGAGACCCTGAGGGAACATAAAAAAAGAGATAGAGTAAGTCGTAGATGAGCGCACAAACTGTGACACATGCACACGAAAAAGTGGAGACGTAATTCAGGTTAACACTAAGCGTTAACACTTTTCCTCTACTTGATTCAACGGAAATTTACGTAAACTAGGATGGTCTATACAGCGTGGAAGGCCGAAAATTTCTCGCATTTAGAATGCGTTGTAATGTTACTGAGAGACTAATTTTGTAAGAAGCATTAACGTTTCCCTGAAGGACACGATTGTGTGGTTGTGGTCTAGACAGCAGAGGTCAGTGCCACTTCAAGACATTCATCCCATATACACAGGCAATAAAACTGAAATGTAAACAGTTCAACAAAGGCCTCGTCTTTTACCCACGAGGCGGTGTTCGATTTGTGTGTGCAAAACAAGACGGGCTAGTTTAAAGGCGAGAATCGCTCTTATATATATATATATATATATATATATATATGAGNCAGGCAATCCTTATGTATTTATCCCAATTTCAGTCATTTGACTACAAGTCTGGCAACCCCTCACTACTCATTCATAATTCAAATTATAATCCACTACAAGGTAGAAATTGTAACAATTTTTTCGCTTTGTAATGCCAAACCGGAATAAATTAATGAAAGTCTCATGAATGACAAGGGAATTGAAAATATGTTGAGACCAGAAATAATATAATCCAACAAATTTCCTGTTATTGATTGTATGATTTTAAGCAAGTAGTGTCGGGTTTCGAGTGGTTGAAAGAAACACAAGCTGAGTTCGCTTTCTATCTTCCAAACGGTTTCTCTTCTTTTGGTTTGGGAAAAAATGAATTTACTATTTAATACATCGTTGTTTTACTACACGAATATACTAATTGCATCTAAAACAGAAAACCTCCACGTGGTGCATCCTGGGCAACGTATACTCATACGGCAAAAAAGTATATTACCTGGCAGTTGACTTCTGACCCCACTGTATGTCATATTTGACTACTTCCACAGTACTTACATCACATTTTTGCTAAATTTTCTACCTTCGTCTTTGAAACACTCTTCTGTCCCCTCCCTCTCGACTTTTTTTCACTTTGATGTTCCTTCTCCTCTGTGAAGCCTGAAGTCAACTAAAGGGCTAATGATAACCATCAAAACTCCTGCCATTTGATATAGATAAATAAATGCATAACAGTAAAGAGAGGAAAGGTATCTCTTCCATAACTACTCGAAATATTGCTGGTTCTCATCGTTTTCCAGTAATTTTTTTAAAGTAATAACAAAAAGGACAATGAGGGAAGAACATCTGAAAGCGGCAACTCTAAAGTAAGTCAACCGTAATTGGTTTGCCAATTTAGACCAATTATAGATATCCAACGAAGAATAGTGCGCTCGAAAAGTTATATGTTTTCAAGTCGGATAACTAAAAATTTGAAGTATTTTAAAAGGGAACAAACTTCCAACGCAACAGAGCAATTACTGAGGCAACTACAAGGAACAGACCTACGACTTAACAAGTCTTCGATTAGAGTGTATTTCAAGTAAGGCAATATGTGTCATATGGAGCTATGCCAAAATTTGGATCAAGGCATATAAACTCACATATTTCTCTCAAATTTGAAAAATGTTCACAGCGTCATGATTGGCAAAATCTTTTGCTTAATTCGATCACTTATTGTACCCCGGCCGATTGAATCATCGTTCTACTGTTTTGCAAATTATTTGAATAAGGTCACTTCAAGTGGGACACATATGAAGCCGTTAAAGTAAGCAATTTATAAGAAGCCGTTGAGATGGAAATTTAATGATAAATAAACATAAACTATTTTCATCTTAACGAAATAAATTCTGTATTTACCCTCAGACCTTTATCGCAATACTGACCAAACCATAAATTGTCCCCCCCCCCCCTTCAATAGCTAGGATATTGGCTTTTAGACCGTAAATTAAACATTTTGATCGAATTAACTTTAAAGGTAATGTAAGTAGCGCAAACCCATTAACACTATCTGTAAACAGGGGTGTTCAATAGACTTACCTCCACGCGGTGCACCCTGGGCAACGTATACTCATACGGCAAAAAGTCTATTGACTGGCAGTTGACTTCTGACTTCAAACTACCATGGCCCTACTGCTTGCCCTACACATCTTACCTTTTTCTCTACCTTTGTGTCTGTCTGCCTCTTTTACATCTGTGAATCGCTCTTCTGTACCCCACCCCTCGACTTTCTTCTGCTTTGATGTTCCTCCTCCTCTCTGTGAAGCCTGAAGTCAGCTAAATGGCTAATGATAGCAATCAAAACGCCTGCCATTTGAAATAAATAAATACTATCTGTAAACAAATGCTAGTTGGAAGGCAATTCAGCTAATTTCAGAGGAGTAGTCCATATGATTCAAACGCTAGTTTATATTGCCTTAATTCGGATGATTCAAGCATTCTCAATAAAACAAAGATGAGATAGCTTAAAGCATTATCCCGCAAAATCGAAACTCATGAAGTTTGGAGAAGGTTGGGCGAAAAGCGATGCATCATCGATTGAAAATAATTCCGCTGCCCCAAAAAAGAACTGCCAGAATGCTGAACTCGAACCCAGAGATTAAAGACTAAGGGTAGAGTTCAAAAAAAAACTTCTACATTAAGAACGTTTGTGTGTTGGAAGTGGTAAACACAAAAAGAGCTGGCTTTGCCCTGGGTAGTGGCAAGCTAATTCTTTCACTTCGGACAAATAAAACTTTTTACAATTGCTTTTTTGTGTCATTCATTAAAGTAGGAATCATTAAAGAGAGAGTGAACAAGGCGTTCTGTGAGGCATAGAATATGTTTGAAGTACACAATCAACACGGGACAAAGAAACTCAAGAGAACAACTTTTACGTCGAACAAGTTGGGCACTTCCGTCTCGTTTCATGAGGGAGAGAGAGAGAGAGAGAAAGAGAGAGAGAGAGTACAAGGTGCCAATTATGGAAAGTTGGCATCGTGACTATTAGCAGAATTAGAAACAATTTAACCAATCAGAAATTTATAACTTAAACCACTTTCACAATATCTCATAAGACTTTGAAGAAGGATGAAACAGGGTAGCATGCATTCAGTTACATTATTTTGCATTGAAAAGTCGTTTTAGTCCGACTGGCTAATCAAAAGTCTATCAAAAAGGTGAAATACATCAAACGATGAGTAGATTCAGTAGCAACTGGACAGTTGCTGCACTTCTGCCAAGTCGAATGCAATGGGAGTGATGTTCGTCGGCAAGAAATTCTGAGCTATGGATATTAGTAGATACCAAGAGTGGTAGTAGGAAGAGCGTTTCCCATCATAACATCTTTAGGAGGACTTCTTGCTCAACCCAAAGACAAATGCTTTTAGCAATTGTGTATACAATTTTACTTCAATTTGATTGAGAATTTAACGATTACGACTTTCAAAATGCAAATCTTCCTTCGTCAATAATGGCAGCATTTCTTCAATCTAGAGCAAGCTCCCTATACATGTGTGTTTCTAAGTTTTGGTTACACCATATAATTGAAGAGATTGAAGAGAGATTGCTAATCCCCTAAATTGGCTAACAGTATCTGCTTCTTATTAGATAACAACCTGGACAGAATACCAATTCGGTTAAATTGAATTTACCACTGAGGTAAGAAAAATGAGAATACTGCAAAATGTGAGATTTCTAACTCGCAACCTCTATGAAAAGATATAAACATAACACAAAAAAATAAGGAGACCTTTACATTTAGAAGTCTAATTATTTTCGGCAAATGTGATCATCCTATAAGTGTCTACGTCATCCGACAAAAAAAATTGATTCTGTAAGACCTCCCGCATCGACTAAAGATGGTATGGAGTATAACAGATCAAGAATTGAGAAAAAGATCTTTCCCTCATGAGCTGCACAGGTGCCACCCCCTCCTCCCCCTCCCCCCCCCCCCCCCCCCCCCCCCCCCCCCAATTCGGTAATGGGGGGGATAGAAGGCTTTCCCCTAGAACAATGGCAGTGTGAACTATATTAAATCGAAGAAATAAGGTTAGATCATTGAAGGCAAAAAGAGGAGTTGTAATTTAGAGGTCAATGGATAGGTGGTCAATCGTGCTAATATTCCAAATTGTGACAAAATTCTTAATTAACGATAGTGTCAAAAAGCAAAATAAAAAGAAGTACAAAGTAAAAAAAATACACATTTGTATCGCATCTGAGCAAATAGAGACAAGGCAAAGTATGGAACACGCGAAGTTGCATTGCGATTTTGAAAGGAAGTACAAAAAAATAAACAAATATTGGTAGGAAAATAACGAAAAAAATCATCTCAAATAAGGTCTGATCAAACATTAAATTTCAGATATCCTTTAAATAAAATGAAAAGAAGGAGAACATCGGATCTGGTACACCCAAACATCTCCATTGAGGGTCGAGTAACTTGGAGAGCAACAACAGGCGTTCCAGACAGTAACAGAGTACGAGAATACTTCGCGTAAATTTTCCTAGACACCCCTTCAAAGGACACCTATGCTCTAATATGCCTATGCGAACAATCGAATGAACGAGTTGAGAATGGCTCATATCATGAACAGATGGGATTTAAAACACATGATCTCTGCTTCGGCTGATAGACGAATACCACTAGTTTCTACCAAACTGTTAAAATATCTGCACTTGTTTATGCATTATCCGGCATCATCAATGATAATGCCCAATAATGATTTATATCAAATGGCAGGCGTTTTGATATTTATCGTTAGCCCTATTTAGTCGACTTCAGACTCCACAGAGGGGAAGGAACATCAAAGTGAAAACAAGCCGAGAAGGTTGGGGGGGGACAGAAAAGTGTTCCAAAAGTGTAAAAGAGGCAGACACAAAGGTAGAAAAAAGTGAGGTGAGTACTGTGGAAGAAGTCGAATATGACATATGGTAGAGTCATGCTAGTTTAAAGTCAGAAGTCAGCCGCCGGTTAACAGACTTTTTTGCCGTATGAGTATACGTTACCCAGGATGCACCACGTGGAGGTAAGTCTATCCCACACCCTTGCCCAATAAAGATGCCTAATGCATAGTCACACATAGTTGTCAATATAAATATTTCCGAAATAATGAACTAAATTGCACAAATGTTACTTTTGATAAAGAAACAAAGTTCGTCAATAATTGATAAAATAAAAAAGTCTCAAGGTTTATTTTACTCTGCGATCAATTACAACAATTCAAGCGACACAATACCCTAATACTAGGTAGATAACATGACAAATTCGTAACCAGGAATACCAAGGAATAAATTATGAAAGTGAATAAAAGACAAAACTTTCTGTACTTGAATAAAAAGTAATAGGAGAAGTGTGGTCTGTTTGAAAACTAACTTCGTAAGAAAATCTGCAGATATTTAAGCGTTCAAGAGCGTGGCAGATTGTCCGCACACATGATTATTCTAGCACAAAGAAGCACTTGCTTTAATTGATGCCTAAAAGCGTCCAAAAAAAGACACGCTAAACTCAAGTCCGCAAGGTGTTCACATCACAATAACCCTAGAAGAACTAATCATCGGGAAACATCAGGCTCCATGAGAAAAACGTCCTAACGGCTAGAAACAGAGACGAATTATTCACTAAAGGATGCAGAAACAGGGGATTGGGCAAAATAGGACAAAAGTTCCCCTCAGTAGAGAGAGGGGGGGGGGAATACAAGAACGTCTGGATGTGTGGGTATAAGTAAGTGTAGACATCTTCCCATTCCTCGTGGATGACTCATGCACATACACACGGCATAGCTGCAACCGGGACGACCGGACTAACGCTGATGCTAATAATGATTCGCGCTCGCACATGACCAAGCAGGCGGGTACCGAACTGACTGCCTGCTTGTCTCTCCTTTCGTGGGAACGAGAGACCAATTCACTAAGTCCTAAAGTGAAAGAATACCTTCTATTGCATATACATATATGCAAACTTAATTCCCAATCAGTATGGTCGGCCACTGAGAACCCACAGGGATCTTTTTTTCTAATGGCAGGCTTTATGATATTTATCATTAGCCCTCAAGCTTTGACTTCAGCTTCCCTCATGGGTGGGGGGGGGGTACACATATAGCAGTTCATTAGCTGTCTTCTTGCTTCCCAGTATCTCTGGGTTTCCGTCCTTGTCTTTAGGGCTGGACACCGAATCAGGTGGGTCTTCTCCATTTCCTCCTGTAGGTTACATAGAGGGCATGTGGGTTGAGTGCATACTCCTAATCTGTGAAGTTGTTTTACCAGGCAATCGTGTCCGGTACATAGTCTAAACTCAGCAACGGCTTCGATTCTAGGCCAGTCGGCTATGACGGAGAGTGCCACTGTACACTGTTTCTCCTCCCACAGGGATCATGAGTTGGATAAAAATCGATGCCATTCCTTCAGCAGTTTCTTATTGTGAGACTGAGACAACAGCTTCTCTTTTCAAGACGAGTGATGAAGAGGGCATTGAGTAACACGTGCAACAGCAAGACAGAAGGGACGAGATTGATCCCAATCTTTGGTACATCAAGCTATGTGGACGATCAGCAGCATTTATTAGTTTTGAACAACGAGAGACGGGTGAAATGGGAAATTTTCATGAGATCGGCTCCAGAAAGTTATTCCACTATCCAACTGTTGGTGATTTAGTTCAATCGTATCTCATAAGGTATGATGTAAATGCAGACGTATTCATTTTAATTCTTCAGTATGAACAAATAGTACACGAAAATAATAAGAAAACCTAAGGCTTTAAGAGAAAAATTACTATAATGGCCGAGAGAACACAGGCTGAAACTGACCAGTAAACGACGGCAAAGTCTATTTAAGACAATAAATAGGAAGGGTTGCATTTAACAGATTTCGACAATATTATAAAGACAGCTATAAAACCAATGAAATGAAAAAAAATAGAACAAAATCTGATAACAAACAAATTATAGTTGAAAAAACGCGCCAACCATCTAAATGAATGTTCCAACTCAATTTGTGAATTCGTAATAAGCCCAAGATAGAAAATGTAAGATCGAACTATCATTTTCCTGTTTGGGTATCAAAAGCAAACAGCACAAACCGAAACGTAATTAGACCCACTTATATATTTGAAGGTTCGAGTCTTCTGCAAGGTGAAAAGCAATGGAGCTAATAAATTATATATTCAAACATGAAAACAAAGATCGGGGGATAAACATTATTGATGGGTTCCGAACATGATTCGTAGCAATCAAGCTATTTATACAGACGATAACCAACTTAGAATTGTGAGACTTTATGTTAAGAGTGACGGAAAATTATTAAGAATGACAATAAAGACGTTTTTAACAAAATAGCAACAAGTAAACTGCCAAAAGTAAAAGAAGTATAAAAAATATGGAAAACCGAACACACTTGAAGGCTGACAGAGGTAGGTCGATCGGATGTAAGAGTTGTAGGAGAAGTCATAGATCCCAATTTAAATTCCAACTGTTCAATTTGTGAGCATTTTGAGGAGAGTTCTTTTTGGAGACGATGTTTTTCGCTAATTAATTGGGCGGCAACTAATCGCTGTCTCTGGCAGAGGGCATTCTGATGGGCATAGCTATCAAGAGCCTTTTTTAATTCCTTTTGAAGACATTTATTTTGATTCCGTTCATTTTCCAACTGTAATTAATAGATATTAAGTACAAATTAGAAATAACAACCTCAGCCTGCAATTTTTCCCGCTCTTTTTCAAGCATAGCCACAACATCATCTCCCTGAGCGGCATCTCGTTCAAGCCTTTTTCTTTCCTCTTCAAAAGAAGCACAAAGTCCAGCATATCTCTTGTCAGCGGCTTGCAACTGTTCACGATAAAATGCGTATGAACGCCGCTGATTTTCAATTAACATATCCAGATTAATAGCTTTGCCGCCATGGAAATCCTGAGGGGTATTTCGATTGGATGGGATATTGTGTCCGTGTATTAAGTTAGAATCTCTCTGCAGAGCAAGAACAGGGTCATCCAAATCAATATCGAACGTCTTGTCAATAAAATATCGATGTCTCTTAGCATCATCGACAAGAAGAAAATTTTGTTCACACTAGAATTTCATTAATGATTTAAATACAATACCTGTAAAGAAGCGATAATAATATCTCTTGCTTCAATGCCGGCTTGTAAGCCAGCAAGCATCTGTACAAGTTCCTCGTGGTTAAGCTATTTATAAAAATATATAATTGGCAACAACTTACAGAGGAAGAGATTTCTCTGTCTGAAGTTTTATGTTCTTCGACCATATTTGTTAGAATATTAAAAACCATCTACTTTAAGGGAATAAGAAATATCAACATGGGAAATCCGAATTAGCATAATAAGCGAAAGAGAATGAATGTTTGCAGATTTACGAGAATCCATCATCAATTAAAATAGCGAATTCAAACAACTTGTCCTTCGATTAACAAAAATGTATGCATTATCAATTTCGTAAGCAGAGCATAAAATTTAATTAAAATGATTTCTAAGATATATTATGGCATTATTATGACTAAATCATAACAAGTCCATATTTGTCTGATCTGTTTTATTAAGCTAAAATATCTTTCTTATTTTATCTAAATAAAATCGTCAGCTAATACACTGATTGTGCTTGATTTACTTTAGAAATAATATGTTCGTTCAGTTTCTCCAAAAATTCATCTTACCTTGATGCGGTATTGGGGTCAAATGTGTCCTTGATCTCACTGCCTTATTCCCTAATATGTATAGCGTGTTTTCTACTAGAAGATTATTCACTAGACGTTCTATAGCAAACTTTCTTCATAAATTCAATTGGTTTTCTTCTAATGCTAAAGCTTCATTAAGAACACATACATGTGGCGAGTTACGAGAGTCAGATGCTGGTAAAGCAGTAGTTTTGTGTGGTTGGCTTTATAATGCACGCGTATCCTCATCATTTCTACTATTAAAAGATGCATATGGAATGACTCAAATAACCTTGGAACCAACAGTAAGATGTCATTGAATTATACATTGTTTAGCTTCGAAATGCACTGCCTCCCACCGATTCTGTAGTTAAAATCGAGGGTGTCGTTCAAACTAGACCAGACAAGGATATTAATGAAGTACATGCTATATCACATTTAAATTTTTAGTCAATGAAAACGGGAAAAATTGAAGTTAAAGCCAAAACAGTTAAAATAATAAATGCAGCCTCGGAAAAAATTCCATTCAAAATGAAAGAAAGAACAGCTGTATGTTGATACTGCAATTGAATTGAATTTTTTAGGTTAACGAGCAACTCGGTTTAAAGTATCGATATCTTCAGCTTAGGCAGGTTGAATTCCAGAAACGGCTTAAATTTCGTTCAGAATTTTTGCGTAAGCTTCGTAACTACTTATGTGTTGAGCGAGGTTTGTGGTTATTCCATATAAACTTATTTAGACTTTAGCATTTGTCGATATTGAGACCCCATACCTATTCAAGCGAACCCCTGGGGTATGAACGGTTATTTTTCGATCACCATACGCACAATTTAGGGGGCACATGAATTTATTGTTCCTTCTCAACTTCGAGGCAAATTCTATTCCCTTCCCCAGAGTCCTCAACAATTTAAGCAACTTTTAATGGTTGCTGGAATTGATCGATATGTCCAAATTGCACGGTGTTTTCGTGATGAATTAGCCCGCCCTGATAGACAACCCGAGTTTACACAGGTATCAGATAATTTTTGGGTTTATTATAATTTCTAGCTGGATATAGAAGCCTCATTTATAACTAGGGAGGACATATATGACATTATTGAATCAACATTATCACATGCTTGGACTGAAGTACGTAAATACAATGAAAAAATTGGACAATTGGCAACACCTTTTCCACGAATGACCTATGAAGAAGCTATTCGCAATTATGGTAGTGACAAACCTGATGTTCGATTTGGCATGAAATTACTTGATTCTACAACAAACGGGGATGATAAATTTGCATACTTTGTTATTCCAGCAGAATACGTTAGTTGATGTATCATTTCCTTAATTACTGTCCGTCCTGCAGGCCGGTAGTCTTTCTAGGTCATTCTATCAGAAAATTCTCTCTTTGGTTGAAGAAAAGCACGCATTAGTAAGTCACTATGTTAATGACTGACATATCTCCTAGAAGCTTTCTGTTCTTCCTTATGAAAAACTCAAATCGTTAAGTGTGTCTAATTTTAAGGCAATTTCTCAAGTAAAAGCTGGCGAAGCAGTTGTTATGGGCAAAGGTCTTGATCATGCCTGGGTAAGATTTTGTCTGCATCATTTATTGTTTCATTTAATAGAGGAATGCATTGGGTACGGCTCGAGTTCTGATTGCGAAACAAGTGGCTTCCTTGGGTTTTGAAATATACAAACCAGGTTTCTTCTTTCACTGGGTTGAGAATTTCCCACTATTTTCGAGAGATGATAATGGTAAGGCCAGAATTGGGATATTTGATTTCCCACTTTTGCCCAATTTTCAGGTAATTTCGTATCGGAACATCATCCCTTCACTGCACCAGTAGAGTCGGATATGGACTTGCTTTATTCTCATCCGGAAAAGGTATTCAATGTATTAAATATTAATAAAGATCGCCTTGTGAATGGCTAGGTTCGTGGTCAACACTACGATCTCGTTTGTAATGGTCAAGAGGTTGGCGGTGGATCGATACGAATTCACCAACATGACATGCAACGCTTCATACTGGAAGGCATTCTTCACGAAGATGTATCGCCTCTGAATCATTTACTGGAAGCCCTTTCATACGGTGCACCGCCTCATGGAGGAATAGCATTGGGTAGGCATTCTACATACAAGGGAGCATGGTTTTATCTTAGCACCGACAATTATTAGATATAATTGGCACAACTTAAGGCGTTTCATATCTTATAGACTAATGCGTACCTATGGAAGTACTTGTCCAATTAATGGAGTTGACCAATTCCAGTTTTATCGAATAGGTTATCTGTAACTGAGAACAAGTCCACGATTCGTCAAACCCATTCGTGGATTAGGAAACCATTTTGGTCTTGCAGACCGCATCCGTTTCCGCTCTGATGAACCGTATTCAGTGTGTCTGTATCGACGAGTGTCGAATGTCCCTAATTAGACAAGTAAATACTCTAATACTAAGCCATATTTGTGTATGATAAACGGGGTGGTAATATTACAACTGAACATTGACGCCACTCACAATTGGCAACACGTGGATGGAAATCAAACAACGCTAGAGAACAACTATTGCACGAACGTGTGTCAGAAGCGAAACCCCTCGCACCGATAGCCCAAAACTGTTTTACGGATGCAACTGACACTTCATTCGATTTTAGGATTAGACAGGCTCATTGCCATACTCACTGGTGCACGGACCGTCCGCGATGTAATAGCCTTTCCCAAGACCTGCGAAGGCCGTGACCTCCTATCTAATTCCCCAGACACAGTACCTTCTGCTGACCTTGACCGCTACTCTATACAAATAAAGAAAACCAACACCCCCGCTTCATAAAAAAAGTGCAGTTGTGACAACAAAGTAATAATTTATTGAAATAAAACTTTACAACATCAAAACGTGTATTTGAAGAGCCTAACTAGAACAATAGACGTTATCCTTTAATATAAACTATTTTATTTCACAATTATTTGGGGAAAATCAACATTAAACAACTAAACATGCACATGGATAGAAGTCTACAAGCTTAGACACTGCAAACAGGGACCTTAATGGGAGATCGATAAAATAAAATAGGCGATGTAAACGCGGGATTATAACAATTCCGGAAGCTGTACAAATAGTTCGAATGTGAATATGGCCTGGTAGCTAAACTTAATTCTGCAACTTCTCAATGCCCTACAAAATTCAAAAAGATCATTAACTGCACCTCACTCGTTGCTAACCTGAGCTACGATGAGTCTGACAAACCTACCCCAAAACTAACGTCGGCTGTAATACGGCTGATAGCGCTGATATCCATTACCTGGCGGACCTCTGGTTGGCCCACCTCCATAACTCTGACCACCATATTGACCGAAACCGTCTCCCATGCCATTACTCCAGCCACCATTAGATGGTGAGTAAGGATCCCACATATCATGATAGCCACCTAGAAGCGATTTAAAAAAAAGTCGAGTCTTACCCATAGGTCCCGGAGGGCAATCATAGCCGTGGGAGTAACTATTATAACCACTTGGCGGACCATAACCGCCATCACGATAACCGCAACCATATCCATAATCTCTTCCGTAATCGTTTCTCCTCTTAATCGTATTCATCTCCTCACGACTAAGTGCTTTCTTAACATCTGATCGACTAGATTTAATTGTATGGGGTTTGTAAAGAATAGCTTTGTCGACTGGATCATAGTCATCAAATGTAACGAAGCCAAAGCCTCTAGAAACATCTGTCTCTCGAGTCTTGACTACTTCACAATCAACAATGGTACCAAAAGACGAAAAATACTCGCGAAGGTCCTCACTAGTGATATCCTTTTTTAAACCACCAACGTAGAGCTTTTTGACTGTCATGTGTGATTCAGCGCTATGGGAATCCTCTCTTGGCATGGCACGCTTTGCCTCAACTATCTTACCGTCTATTTCATGAGGACGATTAGCCTGGGCAGCATCAACCATCTCGGGTTCTTGGTAGGTAACAAAGCCGAATCCACGAGATCTGCTCGATTGAGAATCTTTCATCACGACAACATCCACGATTTCTCCCCACTTTGAATAATAGTCCTTTAAGTGATCCTCTGTGGTATTCGGTGTGAGACCTCCGATGAACAGCTTCCGAAATTGCTCATTCTTGCCTGTTTTGCTGTCAGAGCGTATTTCAGACATCTTTAAAAAAAACAAGTACAACCGAAAGAGAGAGGAAATGTTGGTAAAGTACATTAGGTCGAATAAACAACATGTTTTTTTCCATCTCTTCGTTAACTATAAAATTAAATACTATTGAATTAATCTATATCATATATTTTAATCTTGAAATTTTTACTTATGTCAAGTATTTATTCTTATTATATATATTGTCAGTCTTATCGATGACAATAAATGTACTGTTACGCTTTCGTGATAATTTAAAGAGTTACTACTTTATAAGCTCAATTCACTTTTATTATTGTCTATAAATTCATTTCTATAATGAGCACTCTGTTTATATACAACAGCAACCGCAGTGGGAACTTTCCTTACATTCTGACCGGGCACCCCTTCTGCTAGAAATAATACGCAAAGTAGTTGATCTTAGTACCATTTAAATCGATTTTGCTCCACTTTGTTCGTAATTTGGCAAAATTCAGACCCGCATTGACGCAAAAAATCTGATTCCTAGGCAACAACCATGTGTCTATAGAACCCACAAAGCCATCTGATCTCAACGAAAGTGACCTCAGGGGCTCAAGACATGCTTGCAGGGGCCTTCATAGCGATCAAATATAATTAAAATAGCGCGAAACATAAATGACCATTGATCAAGTATTTCGGTCAAAAACTGCCTATCTTGAACAAGAGTGTCTCTTGGTTTCTCTTTTCCACTTAATATTGCGAATAGATAGCACAATGAAACAAAACTATTATAACTAGTGCATATAATTCCAGAGATTCAAGCACAACATTCTTGCCACATATTTCTTTTGTAATTGACTTTGAGAATCAGTTCCTCGAATAATCAAAAGCCTTTTTGAGCACAAATCATTTTTTAATTTCTGGGTACGGTATAATGTAATTATACCGTGCAAGAATCACAAAATTCTCAAATCGATGAAACAGGAAAATCTCAGTTTCCATGAATATGATCATTCCTAGCAATAGAAATGGACAAACAAATAATGCAAGATAAGTGAATACAGAGCGTATGGGGGGTAGTCATCTGTACAACTCCAAATGTAAGTATATGAAATATTTCTTTATGAAATTGGTTGATTAAAATTGGAAAATCCAGATGAAAGCAACTGATAATCTAAAAGATCTCAGAAATGCTTTTCGATTTATAAAACTTTACACTTGGATCGTTTGTCCTAAAAAAGAAATAGTTTGATTAAGTAAAATACATACCAAAATCAAAAAAATATAATACAATTTTTCTCAGCATATGATTTTATAACAGATAACTGAAGCAGGCCGAAATTGCAATGACGACTAATTTAAATGGATATAAAATAGACGTCACCTATTTGAAAATCATGATTTACATAAAAAATTGCTTGGGAAATAAGCTGGTATAATGTCACAAAATCAATACCTTGCGCATGTTTTCAATAGAGGAGAAACATGCGGTTTTACGGAAAATAGTGGTAGAAATATTTTTGGTAAGATCGGCAACAGAACTTTCCTGGTTTTGGAAATTACTAGTGACATTGGATTAAATGAAATTTTTGCAATAATTTTGAATGCAAATTTATTCTTAAGCAAACACGACACCCACTTGGATGTAATTTCTACAAAAGCAATTTCTGTCAAAAATTTGGTCCTTCTCGACACATGGAATTTTCGGAACCGCGTATGCTACGGCGATTCAATTCCTCGATGACTTATCAATTTATTCTCATTTATACCTTGGCAATAATCCGAATTTATAACGTTGTTTAATAAGGTCTTAAAGAAAGTTTGTTTATTTCAAGGAATTCTTATGGGCAATATTCCATATTGAGGGTTCATTAATTAAAGCATCAGGAAAAGACTTTTAACCAATATGACTATGAAAAAGGTAGGAATTCAATTATTTAGCAATGTTTAATTCGAAACCCTCGAATAAAATACCTAGAATCACACACACAAATTATGCCCCATGATATTGCATTGAAAATTAAAGTAAATTTACTAGTGATTCTTTTTTAAATTAACGAAATTAACAGAGAATGCCTGGAAGGACATGATACACAGCCTACGTATTTTAATGACTTTAACTTTCAAATTCACTTATCCCCTTACATTCTAAGGTGGGGTTTGAACTGTGTGATGCCTAAAGAGTAAGAGATGTCAGGTCGATAGTACAACAGACTTTGAAAGTTTATATTTTGTAAAAGGAAATGAGACAGGAATATAATATAAAAAAGCTAATTATTCGCAACACCTAATTGAAGAAACTGCCCATTTAACTTACCCAGGCTCATAGATTTGTGTCACCTTCATTGTTGGAGGTGAACTGCGTTCCGAATTCCTGGAAAGAAAAGAAGAGCTAGAAATATCACTTATAGACGAGATGGCCGATGTTATTGAGGGCTCCACGCGATTATAGAAGAGCTTGTTCGTTTCTGCGATTTCATTTTGATCCAATGGTGTACTGTGGGCAGTTGGGATCATGGCCACTGTGCTAATTGGAGCCAGCGTATTGGGCCTTAATCTATCAGAATCGAGTTCAAGCCCATTTGAGGGATTAGCATCCCGAGTTTTGCGTAAAGTCTCGCATTCTTTGTTTTTACTCTAAAATTTGAGACGGATATTACTCCCTCAGGGGAAAAGAAGAAATGCGATGGGTTGACTTATTTATATTGTGCTATTATTTGCTAAATATCCAAGTGGATTGTAGATTTAAATTTTTACTAGTTTTACAAGCAACAATTTCAGTATCGGGCATAGATAATTGCAGTCTCAAGCAATTACATAATCAGTATCATTGAGGACTTAATGGGAGATTAGATGACCCTTCCTTCATCTACTACCGCTAAACACGGACAAGATTTGAAGCTATTGGAAGAAAAGTATAAGAAATAATACTTGATAATGGAAGTGAGCAGGTATGAGAAAAAGACCACTTTATTAATTTTTCAAAACTAACTTCTTGGGAAAAAAGACTTACCTCCACGTGGTGCACCCTGGGCAACGTATACTCATACTTCTGACTTCAAACTGCCATGACCCCACTGTATGTCATATTCAACTACTTCCACAGTACTCACCTCACCTTTTTTCTACATTTTCTACCCTCGTCTTTGAAACACCCTTCTCTTCCCCCTCCCCTCCCACTCTCGACTTTTTTCACTTTGATGTTCCTTCCCTCTGTGAAACCCGAAGTGAATTAAAGGGCTAATGATAACTTTCACAACGCTTGCCATTTGATAATATCAATAATAACTTCTTGGGAAAAAAAAATGTTCCAATGCAATTAAAGATACCAGCCAGTGTTCGATCACTGACTTAAAACTTCGGCGGATCAGCCGCAGATTATAAATAAAAAAATAAACAATTTCAATTACCAATTCTATGTTGTGAATTACTTTATAAGTTTTTTTTCCCCTATTAATAATAATGTAATACAACACTAAGAAGATTATTTCATTACGGGATTAAAGATACTCCAATAATATATTAAATGTGGGGGGGGGGCGGGGTTAGGGGTGGCATAAATTAAGGTTCATTTTAACTTACATCCAATAGGTCTTGCAAGCGCGACTGATTTTCTCTAGCAGAAGCAAGAAGAATCTCTAATTTGGAGACAAGCTTTCGTTGGTGCGAAATCTAGGAGAAGAATTTATAAGAAAGCATGCGACAACATGATAGGAAATTCAACCATAAAAATTGTACACATTCGTCCCCTGGTCATGAGCAAGAGTTGCGATGCCGGGGCGTTACCATAACGCGCCATAGAAATGTAGTCAATAAAATGAGTTAATTGGGCGGATGACTAATCATGAAGAGAGAGTGGGTTGCAGCAATTCAGTCACTCATTTAGCATTCAAATACGAGTCAAATAACTCGCTGTATAAATATAGATAGACTTACCTCCACATGGTGCACCCTGGGCAACGTATGCTCATACGGCAGAAAAGTCTATTAACTGGCAGTTGACCTCTGATTTCAAACTACCATGACCCCACTGTATGTCATATTCGACCCCATCCACAGTACTCATCTTACTTTTACTCTACCCTTGGGTCTTTCTGTCTCTTTTACATCTATGAATCGCTCTCCTTTTCCCCTGTCGAATTTTTCCCACTTTCATGTTCCTCCCTTCTGTGAAGCCCGAAGTCAAC